ACACACACACACACACACACACACACATACACACGAAGGAGGACCGCAGTTACAGTGGAGTATAGAAAAACAAATGGAGAACGTAGAACTGGAGAGGGAGGGGCTGAGCATGTAGCTTGGAGTGATGGGGAATCCAGCCATACCAGCATGTGTCTGTTTGGTTTCTGTTGTTAGGGGAGGCAACACAGACTAGTTGGAGCCAGAAAGGCAGGCCATGGGGGTATCTGGGAGAGATAGCATATTCTTACAGTAGCTCCCTGAACTTGGCTGAGGAGCCATGACCCAGAACTGTGTACTGGTTCCCAGAGAAGTGTGTTTTGGTGTTAGTTTTGGAGGGTGGGATCAGGGCACCAGGCTCCACTGGCTGCTCTGCCAGGCGCATGCTAGCTAGGGGCCCTGCTTCCTGCTTTCCTGAACCCTTGAGTCTGACACTTCTTCCACAGCTATAAGAGGAGTGTGTGGTTCTGTAATATTCACAGGGTCCTCAGAGATGACACCCCAAAAAAGAGAAAGGTCATGAGGGGTGCTGTTATCTTATAAGGCTTCTGTAAAGCCAGGGTGGCAGAACCTCTTTGGGAGAGCCTGGAGGTGCTGCTTGGCCCAGGGTGCCTGAGGATAAAATCATTACCCTGAAACTGAGGTCCTCAGGGAGGAGTGAGATGCCAGAGGTGCTGCATTCTTGCCTATGGTGCTAGGCTGTAGATGAGAAAAGAAGGGATATCTCCATGAATGACAGCCTCCCCTGACCAGTTGGTGAGGCTAGGAGATTCCACTCAACATTTCCTGGTGAGACCACTAGGGCATGCTGTTTGCTAGAGTGTAGTTGGATTTGTCTCAAGTTTCTTGAGAGGACTTCACTTTTCTGATATCACCAGTCATCACCAGTCATGAACATTCTTGTACACTTCTCTCCTTGTGCTCCCTTACTGTTTTCCTTTCCTTTGTCTCTCCTTCATTTTTTTTTTCTTGAGGTCACATTGAGACACATGCTCACCCCTTGGTGCCAATGAATGTGGTCTTAAAAAGGCAAGAGTGGTTTGTGTTTCTGTTTGCATTAGAAATGGGTACCCTAATAATTTCAGTGATGCCAACAGGTCTTTTTTTTAAGACATTGATGAACCTTTATTTTATTCATTTATTTATATGTGGTGTTGAGAATTGAACCCAGTGGCTCACACATGATAGACTCTACCACTGAGCCACAACCTCAGCACTAACAGGTCTTATAATTATTTCTTATCCTCTCCCGGGAACAGCCAGGAAGTAGGTGGACAGAGGAGGCCAGAGGCTTTCTTTTTAATCTAATCATATCATCCCCCAGGTAATTCATTAGGGAGCCACCTGAAGTGCTTTGCTGTCTGACAGGAAGCCTTAGAGACTAGGGCAGGTTGAAGGGGTGGGACATTGTGGAGATAGCATAGTTCTGCGATTACAAGTGTTATGTGTGCTCTGGGTTTTAGCTGCCTGCCTCCCTTTTTATTGGCACCCTGCTAGTGAACATACCTGCCCCCGTAGAAGGCATAGTGAACATACCTGCCCCCGTAGAAGGCATAGTGAACATACCTGCCCATAGGCTGTAGGGAGGGTTCAATGAGATAACTCATTCAAGGGCTTAGCTGTGGCCTGATTAAATCTCAATAAGTTCTGTAATTATTACAGGAGCATATTTGGAGGTGCAAGTTTAAGGAGCTAGAATGGGAGCATGAAGAGTAGAGATCAGTTTCCCAGGGATATTTAGATCTCTGTTCTCTTGTTGTAGAATAACAAAAAGTGGGTTAGGAAGAGTGTAAGAAGGGACCGACACTTGGATTTCAGAAAGGATAGAGTGTATTTCTGTTGATAATAGTCCAGAACATCAGATTTAAAGTAGACTATAGAGATAGACTAAACTGCCTGATTTCTAAAAACTGGCCAACTTCTGCTTGTTCTGGGCCTGTATGGCCAGGATAGCTCACAGAAATCTTATTTCCAATTTATTTATTTATTTTTCTAGGCAAGCACTCTACCATTTAACTACAATCTTAGCCCTCTCCATATTTTTAAGAAATTGGAGTCAAGTTGTATTTGGAGAAGGTATATGCAAAGAATTATGGATACTCTAGAGATCTTGATTTTTTTTTTCCTAAGAATGATGGGATGGAGAGAGAGATGTAGCTAGAGGTTTGATCTCATTTCTTGACTATTTTTCCTTTAAAGTAGTGTGAAGTTCAGACTTTGGATAATGACCCAAGTAGCCACCCGTCTCTGCATAGGGAAGTGTGTAGAGTCCTCCTCTTAGGCCACCCAATCATGGGGTACAGGAATGGCTCTTATACTTCCTCTAATTCTCAGCATGTGAACAAGCCTTTGTGTCACACTCTGCAACCTTCCTGCCTTTCTTAATTGTTTGGGGTGAGGAGAAGTGAGGATAGGGTGGGGCACAGAGGACGGAGAGGGGTCTGTGTCACCGCCCTGTCTTCAGCTAACTTGTTGGGGCATAACTTCCCCATTAGACAGAAAAGGCACGCAGCTGGCTGTCCTTTCTTCTGGGCCCTCAGTTCTGGAGCAGAGCTGACAAAGGAGATTCCTGAGAGAGCGCCTTCTTATCGCAGAAAGTGCTGAGTCCAGAGCTCCTTGCTGCCCCTTTTGCAGATGCAAAGGGCCTGTGAACCTTGGACCCAGACGATTGCTTAACTCTCCTCTTCCTTTTCCTCACCCCTTCCTTTGCTTGCTCCCTTGCCCCACCCCCCTTCCTGACTTCACTTAAATCCTTAGGCATTTGCCTGGCCTTCCCTTTTACTGCTGGTTGAGAGGAGGAACAATTGGACCATCCTTCTGGGAGGGTGCATTTCTTTCAGTGACTGCTGCTGGCTACTGCTGTGAGGACCTGCTTACATCCAGGGCCGGGGAGTGAGTGTGCCTCTCACCCTGTCCTCTTGTCCGCACTTACCTGCTAACTCCTCTCTGCTTCTCTGGCTGCTCTGTAGTATCCTATCCCTGCCTCTCCCCAGTGCCTCTTGCCTTAGTATCTCTTCATTTTCCTGAATAGCTATTTCTAGTTTCTTCTCAGCTGTCTCCTGCTCTGTGTTTCCCTGCATCTGCTGCCTGGTTTTAGCTGTTTTCTTGCCTTGGTTTTGAGTGGTCTCTCTCTCTCCAACAGCAACTCCAGGGGTAGTGGAGAGAGGGGAAGCTTCTTCCTTTCTAGGTTCTGCTGTATATTTGGGTCACCATCTCTCATTCATACATTTTTGAGTGATACAACTATGCCAATATGAGGAGAGGCTTGGAATACTAGAGACTGGGAAAAGGATCTAGGAAAGGAAAAACAAAAAGAAGCCTGTCTTCTTTCAGGATGGGTGGGGTGGCTTGGGCTTGGGCACCAGCTGAGGGTTGTTAATGGATCCTCCTTGAGCAGGGAGATGGCTGTTAGTTTCTAGCAGGAAAGCTCTGAAGCCTTTAGATTTGCTAGAGTGAGTGTCTTTGGGGAAAAGATCAGCATTGTGGGGAGATCCCACAGAGTAGCTGCCTGCAGGGTTGGTTGCATCTCAGCACAGGTGATAGGTGAGACTGAAATTAGAGAGAAGATAGACTTTTTGGATATATCTGAAAACTCAGGGTCAATCCACTATAATTATACTTGGGAGCTGCCAAACTGCCTTCGTACCTACTAGTCTTGTGTTACAGCTGGCTCAGGCAAAACCAGGATTTAGTTTTCTATTTGGAAAATGAGGTGGGCTGCATCATCATAATGAAGAGGCAGATGCTTTCCATTTTAAAAATTCAAGTTGGGGTCATTTTGATGAGCCAGCCAGAAGAAGAGGTTTTTCCAAGGTGGGAAGCAAGAGAGAGGTCTCTGAGTGGTGGGTGGGCTGCCCATACTGGCCCCTGTTGGGTAAGGGGTGGGGAACTACACATTTATCAATTACACCATATTTCTCATCTTTCTTCCTTAGAGGGCAATGCCAGGAAGCTGGTGAAGGCTCTCCTCTCCTCCACCATGGTTGACAGCATCAAATATGAAGTGGCCTCCCAGCAAGAGGCTGATGATTCTCCTTTGGGCCATGGGGCCAGCCCAGGAGCCCAGCAGATAAAGCTGAAGAAGGAGATCTCACTACTTAATGGCGTGTGCCTTATTGTGGGGAACATGATTGGTTCTGGAATCTTTGTCTCCCCCAAAGGTGTGCTCATGTACAGTGCCTCCTTTGGCCTCTCCCTGGTCATCTGGGCTGTTGGGGGCCTCTTCTCTGTCTTTGGGGCCCTTTGTTATGCGGAATTGGGCACCACCATTAAGAAATCTGGGGCCAGCTACGCCTACATTCTGGAAGCCTTCGGGGGACTACTTGCCTTCATCCGCCTCTGGACTTCCCTGCTCATCATTGAACCCACCAGCCAGGCCATCATTGCCATCACCTTTGCCAACTACATGGTGCAACCTCTCTTCCCCAGCTGCAATGCTCCCTATGCCGCTGGCCGCCTGCTGGCGGCTGCCTGCATCTGTAAGTGGGGTTGGGGAGGAGAGTGGTGTGGAGGACTGGGCTAAGGTGGGGGTGTGTGGATCCAGGCAGGAAGCAAGGAGTTGGAAAGGAATGCCTTTGATAACACCTATTTTGTGATTTTTAAATTAATGTATGCTGTGAGCTGGGGTTGTAGCTCAGTGGTTGGGTGCGTGCTTAGCATGCTGGAGGTCCCAGGTTCATCCCCAGCAAGCAAAAAGAAAAACAACTATGCTTTGTGTTTCAAATGGTACCACAGTGTAAATGAAAGCAAGCAACTCACCTTTCTCCAACTTCTCATGCTAAGCCTATTAGCATTTAGTGTGCTTTTCCTGAATTTTTTTCTTGCTCTTTCAAGAGAAGTAGTTTTGACTGGGTGTGGAGATTGGTGCTTTGTATCCCAGCTGCTAGAGAGGCTGAGGCAGGAGGACTTCAAATTTGAATTAGGCCTGGGCACCTTGAATTCTCTCTATCTCAAAACCAAATAAGAAGGGCTAGCACAACCCTGTAATCCCAGCAAGCAACTCAGAAGGCTGAGGTAGGAGGATCACAAATTTAAGGCCAGCCTCAGCAACTTAGTGAGGTCCTGTCTCAAAACATAAAAAGAGCTGGGGATGTGACTCCGTGGTTAAGTGCTCCTGGGTTCAATCACTGGTACCAAAATAATAATAATAATAAATAAAAAAAATAAAGTGCTAGTAGTTTTGTTGACTTTTATTTATTTATTTAATGTTTTTTTAGATGTTGATGGATCTTTATTTTATTTATTTATTTATTTATATTTGGTGCTGAGAATCGAAACCAGGGCAAGTACTCTGCCACTGAGCCACAACTCCAGCCCTTGTCATGTCTTTTAAAAGAACAGATGTTTTGGGGGGTGGGGTGGGGTGGGGTTATTGAGCATTGGACTCAGGACCTCACACAAGGTAGGTAAGTGCTCTATTACTGACTTATGCTCCCATCCCTTTTTATTTTATTTTCAAACAGGGTCTCGCTAATGTTCCCAGCCTGGTGTTGAATTTGTAATCTTCCTGCCTCAACTTCTTGAGTAACTTGGATTATAGGTGTGCACCACCATGCCCAGCTCTATTCTATATATAATTCTGCAGTGTGTGCTCCTGCTGTTCATCCATTGATAGACATCTAGCTTGTCTTGGCTGTTGTGAACAGTGCTGCAATAAACATGGAGTGCAGATAGATGTCTGTTCAACATACTGATTTCATTTTTTTTCTTTGGTATACTCAGTGCCCAGTAGTGGGATTGCTGGATCATATGATAGTTCTATTGCTAGTTTTGAGGAAACTGCTTGCTGTTTTCTATAATGGCTGTACTAATTTACTTTTCTATCAATAGCATATGAGAATTTCCCTCCTTTCTCTGTATTCCTGTTAGCATTTTTTTTCCTTTTCAGTTCCTGAATGAACCCAGGGATGCTCTACAACTGAGCTATATCCCTTTATGTATTTTATTTTGAGACAGGGTCTCTTTAAATTGCCAAGGCTGTTCCCAAACTAGCAATTCTCCTGCCTCAGCCTCCTGAATAGCTGGGATTACATTTGTGTACCATCACATGCAGCTTGTATTTCCTTTTTTTTAGACAGGTCTACTTGGGTCATTTACCTCTTTAAAAATTTTATTTTTGTTAAGTTTTGGGTATTGAACCTGGGGTGCTATTTATTGAACCCAGGGTGCTCAATCACTGAGCTACATACCCTATCCTTTTTAGTTTTATTTTGAGATAGAATATTTGTGCATTTAAATTAAAGGCTGTCCTTAGGCTTGTGATTTTTTTTGCCTCAGTGTCTCTGAGTAGATGAGATTTCAGGTGTTCAGGACTCCATGCCTGGCTTCATCCATTTAAAATCATATTATTATTATTTTTTAATTTTTAAAATTTGTTCTAATCAGTTATACATGACAGCAGAATACTCTTTGATTAATTGTACACAAATAGAGCACAAATTTTCACTTCTCTGGTTGTACACGAAGTAGGGTCATACCATTCGTGCAATCATACATACACTTAGGGTAATGATATCTGTCTCATTCCAACATCTTTCCTATCCCCATGCCCCTTCCCTCTCTTCTCCCTCCCTTTGTCCAATCCAAAGTTTCTTCACTCATCCCATCCATGCTCTCCCTCATTATAGATTAGCATCCACTTATCAGAGAAAACATTCAGCATTTGTTTTTTTGGGATTGGCTTACCTTGCTTAGCATGATATTCTCCAACTCCATTCCTTTACCTGCAAATGCCATAATTTTATTCTCTTTTACTGCTGAGTAATATTCCATTGTGTGTGTGTGTGTGTGTGTGTGTGTATATATATCATAGTTTCTTTATCCATTCATCTATTGAAGGGCATCTAAATTGGTTCCACAGTTTGGCTATTGTGAATTGTGCTGCTATAAACATTGATGTGGCTATATCACTGTAGTATGTTGATTTTAAGTCCTTTGAGTATATACCAAGGAATGGGATAGCTGGGTCAAAAGGTGGTTCCAAGTTTTTTAAGGAATCTCCATACTACTTTCCAGATTGGTTGCTCCAATTTGTGGTCCCACCAGCAATGTATGAGTGTGCCTTTCCCCCCCACATCCTTGCCAACACTTATTGTTTTTTGTATTTTTGATAACTGCCATTCTGACTGGAATGAGATGAAATCTTTGAATAGTTTTGATTTGCATTTGTCTAATACTAGAGATGTTGAACATTTTTCAGTATATTTGTTGATCGATTGAATATCTTCTCTCGAGAAGCATATGTTCAGTTCTTTAACTCATTTATTGATTGGGTTGTTTGTTTTTCTGGTGCTAAGTTTTTTTGAATTCTATATACCCTGGAGATTAGTGCTCAATCTGATGTGCATGTGGTAAAAATTTGCTCCCGTACTGTAGGTTTTCTCTTCATCTCATTGATTGTTTCTTTTGCTGAGAAGAAGCTTTTTAGTTTGACTCCATCCCATTTATTGCTTCTTAATTTTATTCATATTATTATTATACTTTTGTGTTGTTTGAGTTCCTTATATTTTCTGGAAATACTCTCTTGGTGGATGAATAGTTGGTAAATATTTTTTTCCATTGTGTAGGTTGTCTTTTCAAACTGTTGATTCTTTTGGTGTAATAACCTCTTTAGTTTGATATAGTTCTGTTTGTCAGTTTTTGCTTTTGTTGCCTGTACTTTTTTGGCAAAAAGTTTTGTTTAGATCAGTGTTCTGGAGTATTTCCCCTATGCTTTCTTTCTAGTAATTTGAATGAATCTTACATTTAAGTCTTTGGATTAATTTCTGAGCTAATTTTGTACATAGTGAAAGAAAGAGGTCAAGTAATTTTGTGTTCTCCAATGTATGTTCTTACTACCTTTGTCAAAAATCAGTTGACTGTAAGTAGGTAGATTCATTTCTGGGTTCTTCATTCTGTACCTTTGAACTTTTAGCTGTTTTTAAGCTAGTACCAAGATGATTTTGTTATCATAGCTTTGTTATTGTAATAACAATATTGTTATTGTAATATGTTTTGAATATTGTAATGTGTTTTGAAGTTAAGTATTGTAATGACTTTATCTTTGTTCTTTTTTGATCAGGAGTGCTTTGGCTTTTCAGGACTTTTTGTGGTTCCATGTTAATTTCATGATTGTTTTTTCCTAGTTCTGTGAAGGTCATTTTTATTCCGAATGGAGTTGCTTTGATTGGAGTTGCATTGGAATTGCATACAAATAGCTTTGGGTAGTAAGAACATTTTAAACATATTCTTTAATCCATGAATATGGGATATCTTTCCATTTTTTTGAGTCCCCTTCATTTTCTTTCTTTCTTTCTTTCTTTCTTTCTTTCTTTCTTTCTTTCTTTCTTT